GAAGAATTTTGTAAATCAGTTTTGTAAAAAATTGTTTTTAAAAAGTATCAATGAATTTTACTAATTTAAAATATGAACAATTTATGTATAATAATAATGAAATATTAAAAAAAAGAAAGATACTACTGGTCGGATCGTTATTATATGCGTAGTAAGTAAGGAATAGTGTTGAAAACTTTACAGGTTATTTTTAATGATGATCGACGGACGCCCAATTTAATATTGATCATCATCATATATTATACTTTTTTTTTCTCTCTCAATTCGTTTTTTTTCCAAAATGTCTACCCCAGTTTTAACAGAAGATTGCATACTTGAAATATTGGATTATTTACGAAACGATAGGTCAACCTTACATAAATGTTTATTCGTTAACCGATTATTTTGTAAAACAATAATTCCCATACTTTATAAAAAACCATTTCGTAATGTTAAAGATCATTTACATTATTACCTTCTTATCAACACATTCCTCGCATGCCTTAATGAAGGAGAAAGGACATTCTTAATTCAAAATAACATCAAGGTTGAAAAGGAATCATCATCAACATTATTTGAATATGGAATGTATTTAGAAGGGTTACCTTATTCAAATTTAAATGTTAACCTTGACTTTTGGTTTTTATATCAATTCTATGATATGAATAAGAATCAAAAATACATTCAAAATAAAGATTATAATAAATTTTATTGTGACATTCATGATGATGTCAGGTATAAAATAGTTAGGAATACGTTATTTCATTCCTTTTTACGACAATTTAAATTCATTAACCCAAAAAATTTAAAGATTCGAAATAATATTTTTGATACCCACCTTTATAATTCACAATTCTTTAAAGAGATCATCTCAAGTTTGAAAATTTTATCGGCATTACACATTTATATTGATTATCAGATGAAGGATATTGTAAACGAATTTTTAAATCTCCTCTCGGAAAATTGTTTTAACCTTAATGAATTCAAAGTATCGGCAACGATTAATATTGAACATGATTCAAGTAAATTATCATGTTTACTTTCCACTCTTATTAAACAACAAACAAATCTTAAAAACTTCTACTTAAGGATAAATAATCAAAATAATGAGGTCAAAAATGTATTTGAATTATTACAACCACACAGAAATACCTTGACCACGTTGAAATTGGATAGTTGTCACTTTGATGAGAGTTCAATCGACCTACTGACAAGGTTTGATAGTTTGGAATCTCTGTACCTCTTTTGTTGTGATGGAATAGATTTGAATCTTTGTAAAATGATATCAAATTCTACGATCAAATTAAAGAAATTGAAATTACGAAACAATTATTGGGAACCAAACATAACAGCGGCATTGATAAGCGCGATAGGGAATTCATTAACAATTCTGGTGCATCAAGAAGTATCCTTTCCCTTAAACATCAATGATGAAGTTTACAAGTCGGTCATCTCCTCTTGCAAGAATTTGGATAAATTTGAAGCATGGATTGCTAATTTAATAATTTTTGATTACTTGAAAGATATTAAATGTAAACACCTTTTCCTTCATTTGGTAGATTCTGAGGCGGTTTTAAGTTATCTGGCAATCAATTTACCTAAAGATTTAAAGATATTTACGCTTAAATTTTATGGAGGA